CTATTGCCTATTTTAACCCAAAATTAAGCTTGTGGTCTAGCTTTGTTTTATAAAAGGTAACTTTTTGTCCCTCAATTTTAGGGTAATTTAAGTGTTATGCACAAAATTTAGAGTTTAAGGATATATGTTTAAAAAATGAATCTTTTTCTGAAAAAATTAGCTATTCTAAGCATGTATTTCTTTAGGTACACACACACAAAGCTTCCTAGTTTGCAAAAAACTAATTTGGGGGCAGACCACATTTCTTTTTATCTTCCTGCTCAGGGGGCTCTGAAATACTGTTTTTTCTCTCAAGATAAATGCCGAGTTAGTTCGTTGGTCAGGGCATCTCTAACAGCCAAGCAGAGGACAAGTTGAGAAACCATTATTGAGGTTAAATGAAAATATCTCCTCCGCACACATATGGAAACATATCCTGTGATATCTGACAGACCCCCTTAACAAGACTGTCTATTGACCTGAAGGCTGCCTGTGACCCTCTGTGATAAATGCTGGAAAAAGCTGCTTCTGAAACACAAAATGTTTTGTGGTACTTAAGTTTTTTAAATTAATTTGTTCAGCCTGCCTGGGTACTATTTTAAGCATTTGCACAAATGCAAGTGGGACATAAAGGAGGTGGTGATCTTCCTGGGGAACTGGAGGTCTCTGATGTGATGTGTGAAACCTTACGTACTCCAGTTTGAAGGGCACCAAGAAACAAAACACAGACCCTCTTTTATTATTGGTAGTCCAATCTAAGCCAAGTATATGATGACTCACCTCCGGAAGGTGTGATCTGACCTGCCTAGGAGTATTTGTATTTCTCTAGTGGTCACCTCCGCCCTGAACCTTGCCTGACACAGTCTCACTGTTTCTGAAGTGAGCTTGCTCGTCTGCGTTCCACAGTGGATTTCACACTTTCCCCACTTTCCCCAGGCCTCTGACCACTCACCCTTTCTGCCCACCTCACTGTAAGCAGATAACCTCACTCACTGCTTTGAGAAAACAGAATCCCTGTGAAGGGAGCTGCTCCAGCTTCCGACCACCAGCCTCCCAGCTTGCTTGTGTCTGTATCCCTCTGCTCTGCCTTCTGTGTTACTACAGGGGAGGAGGCGGCCTTTGCCCACAGCCGGTCTCTTCACCTGTCTTCTGGATTCCATTCCTCATCTATCACCTCGCTTTCTCTCTCAGCTGGTTCCTTCTCATCAGCATTAAAACCAGCTCATTTCTCTCCCATTTAAAAAAAAAACAAAAGCCTTCCCTTAACCCCAACCCCTGCCTTCAGGTTGTATATGCTAAGGAAATGCTCCATGCTTAGTCATTTTTAAAAATTAATTTTGTGTGAGTTTTTTTGCTTTTACTTTATATAGTGTCAACTTAAGGAAACAAACTATTATAAAGGTTTTTAAATTTAATTAAAAAAAATTCTTGCAAAGACCACATTGCTTATAAGTGGCAGAGCCAGAATCCTAATCTAAGTCTGACTCCAGATTCTACTGAAAACTCTCTGCCGGATTTGACACAGAGGTCACCAGTGATCTGGGCAACGGCAGATTTGGTGGAGGGGAGGGGTAGAAACCATGGTGGAGTAAGTTAGAGATTGGGAGGTGAGGATTCTCACCCTGTTTCTCTCCTTCACAGCCAAAGTTCTAGAAAGAGCACAATACCTGCTTTCTAGTAAGCACTCAGCAAAATGTCAGCTATATTTTTGTTGACTTCTCAGTAATATTTGACACAGTTCATTCATCCATTCAACAAATATTTAATGAGTTCCTACTGTGTTGCCAGGCACTGTTGTAGGTGCTGGAGATACAGCAGTGTACAAACAAACAAGATGCTGACCTTTATGAGGACGTACTTACAGGATAAATAAGTCGAATACACAGTATGGCAGTATGCGCTGCAGAGAAAGTAAAGCAGAGAGGGAGAAAAGTCCTGTTGTTATAGGGAGGGGATATCAGTTAGAAATAGGGTGGCCAGGGAAGTCTTCCCTGAGACCTGAAGGGGGTGAGGACCTGAGCCGTGCAGATATATGGAGGGTGAAAGGGCCAGGTTGAGAGATCAAATCTAAAAGTCCTGAGCAGGAGCTACACGGTGTGTTCAAGAAGCTAGTCACCAAAGACCTCGTAGTGTATGACTCCATTTACATGAAATGTCCAGAATGGGCAAATGCATAGAGGCAGACCTATAAAAACGCCTATGGCTGAGAGGGTTGGGTGACTGCTAATGGGTATATGGTTTCTTTTTGGGGTGATGAAAGTGTTCTAAAAGTGATTATGGTGATGGTTGCACAAGTCTGTAAATATACTAAGAGCAGTTAGTATAACAGTTAGTATAAGCTAATTTGTTAGTATATACTAACTGCAGTTAGTATAAGCAGTTAGTATGGATTAAATATACTAAGAGCAGTTAAATTGTACACTTCAAATAGGTGAATGGAACAGTATATGAATTATATCTCAATAAAGCTGTTATTTTAAAAAGACAAGAAAAGAGGGGCCGGCCCCATGGCCTAGTGTTTAAGTTCAGTGTGCTCTGCTTTGGCGGCCCTGGTTCTGTTCCTGGGCGTGGACCTACACTACTCGTGAGCCATGCTGTGACAGCGACCCACATACAAAATAGAGGAAGATTGGCACCAATGTCAGCTCAAGGCGAATCTTCCTCAGAAAAACAAAAAAAGACAAGAAAAGAAACAGTGAGGAGACCAGTGTGGCTAGTGTGGACAGTAGGAAGGGGTGAGGTCAGAGAGGTGACTCTGATGCCAGAGTGCGTAGGGCCCTACAGCCCCTTGTAAGAGCTTTGGCTTTTGCTGTGGGTGAAATGTGGGTGTGTTGGAGGTGTCTGAGCAGAGGAAAAACAGGTTTTAGTAGGATTGCCTTGGCTGCTGTGTTGAGATAAAGACTGAAGGGAGGCAGGGGTGAAAGAATGGGGACCAGTTAGGAGGCTTTTGCAATAAAACAGACGAGATACCATTTCTCCCTTTTTGCTGAAATCCTTTCTCTCTTGGCTTCTCAGTAAACCACACTCTCTCATTTACCTTCTATCTCTCCTTCACAGTCTCTCTATCAGCTTGTCATCTTCTCTCTCACCATTAAATGTAGGGTTTGTTTAGATTATGTCCTGGGATCATTTTATTTCTTCCTGGGTTATCTCACCTACTCTCATGACTTCAGTTACTATCTAAGAGCTGACTGCTTCTGAACTCCCCGCCTTGTGTCTCTGTCCGGATAGCTCAAATGCCCTCAAACTCAATTTGCCCGTTCCAGTTATCTTTTGCTGTGTGACAAACCACCCTAAAACATAGTATATTAAGCAACAGTCATTTCTTTTGCTCACGAATCTGCAGTTTGGGCAGGGTTTGGCAGGGATGGCTTCCCTGCTTGACTGGGCCGGGCAGTTCACTTTCAAGATGGTGTATGCCCATGGTGCCAAGTTGGTGCTGGATGTGGGCTGAGATCTCAGCTAGGGCTGTGGTCTGGGGGCCTCTCCATGTGGATCTCTCTATTTACTGATTGGTTAGGCTTCCTCAAAGCATGGAGGCCTCACCAGTGGTGGACGACTTACAAGGGGGCTCAGGGCTCCAAGTCAGTGGCCTTTTATGATCTAGTCTTGGAAATCGTAGCATCGCTTCCTCCGTAATCACAAACCCACCCGGGTTCCAGAAAAGGGAACACATACCCTACTTCTCAGAGGGAGATTGTCAAAGTGACATTGTAAAAAGAGCATGTGAGATGCGAGATATTAGTATGGCCATCTTTGGCAAATATCATCCACCACATGGTCCAAAATTGAACTTGTGATCTTTCATTAACCTGCTTCTTCTCTAATGTTCCCTAATTTAGTAGTTGGCCCCACCATCTCGAGATTATGGCTGCTCATGGCAGAAACTTGGGCGCCATCTTGGATATCTCTTTTTTCTTTACATTCCTCAGCAACCTGTCCTCTACCCTGTCCAGTCAGTCACCGGGTCCTATTAGTTCTCTTTCTTAATCATCCTCAAATCCTTTCAGTCCTCTCTTCTGCCATTGCCATGACCCTATTTTAGACCATCATCTCCCTCCTCAGTTACTGCAGTGGTCCTCCACTTGCTTTCTCTACTTGCAGTCTTTCATCTTCCAATTATTTTTTATCCTGCTTCCTGTGTAATCTTTAAAATACAAGTCCATTTATGGCATACGCTTGCTTAAAACCCACTCAAAGCTTCTCGGTCCCACTCAAAGCTTCTCGGTGCTCTTGAGCTCAAGACCAAAGTTCTTTCTATGAATTCAGAAGAGGCTTTGCAGCTTTTGGCTCCTGCCTACTTCAGATTCGTTCTGGATCCCTCTTCACTCCTTTTGTGTCTGCTGTACTGACTTTCTTTCACTTCCTCCAAAGCTCTGCTCTCTCTCCTGCTTCAGGGTTTTCGCTTTCACACTTGTTATTCTCTCCGTCTGCCACACTGCCCTCATTATTCATTTTATTTGAATGTAATTTCCTCCAGGGAACTTGCATTAGAATCGCTTGTTAAGCAGTTCAGTGGTACCTACGCTTTCTCTTTATAGCCCATCTTCCACTTGTAATTGCTCACACTACCTTTGGGTTTCTTCCTTGCTGGACTCGATTTCCATGAGATTAAACAATTGGTTTTGAATGCCAAATGCCTAGCCAGTGCCTGACACATAGTGAGCACTCACTCCATGCTTATAAATGACTGTGCATACATACACATACATGTAGAGATAATAAAAAATATATATATACACACGTGCACATCGATTTGTGAGTACGTACAGAGGAGTTATTTTTTTAGTGTTTTACATTTGAGTAAGATTTGTCAGTGGTATATTTAGAAATTATATTTAGAAATCAATGGTATTTCCATTTGAGAGCATGTATGTGTGTTTAGCATGAATTCTATTCTTTTATTTAGGACCCACTGTTCAGAATGTGCCACATCAAACACTAATGTGGTTCAGAATTGTTGTGTTCCCTCTTTTGCACCTTGTCCTCTGACTGGCTACTGTCCATCCATCCCACTCAAGGTAAAGAAACCGCTGCAATGAAGGCTGATCTCCTGAGGGCCAGGAATATGAAAAGGTACATTAACCAACTGACTGTGGCAAAGAAGCAGTGTGAGAAGAGAATCAGAACCCTGGGAGGCCCTGCCTATGACCAGCAAGAGGATGGGGCTTTGGATGAGGGGGAAGGGCCTCCAAGCCAGAAGGTAGAACTTTGTAGTGTTTGACCATTTCGTGTCTGTTTTGAACACTGATGTAGTCACACATACAGTCTTGTAACTTTCTGATATTTAACTTAAGACATATGCTCCAGAATATAGACTCACGTGTTTGCTTTATGAGTCAAAGAGCTATATTACTTGGTGTCTTGACTTCTGTGACTGGTAATAGGTATATAGGTAGGCGTGGGGTGTCTGGACGTGTGTGTGCACATGCCCGTGTGTATTTTCCCGTCCCTCTTTTGCTCTCCCACAATCCCAGAGGAGCATATTTATATGTGCAAGGGCCCAATCCAGTTACCCATTACCAATTGGATAGAATAACCACCTATGAAGTAGAAGGTATCTTATAAGTTATTTTACTTAGCTCTCACCATAATGCTATGAAATATGTACTCAATATCCCCATTTACAGGTGAGGAAACAGGGTTGATTTAAGTAGATTACTGAAGGCCACATGGATAGGAAGAGGCTGAACTAGATAAAAACCCAGATCTAGTTGATTCACAAATCTAAGTGCTTTCTCACCAAACCATAATATGTCAGTGACTGTTTGGGTATGACAAAACTTTATCTGAACAAAAAAGGACTATCTGATACTGAGTCTTTAAATCATGGAGCTTAGGAAAGTGTTCTAGCCCTTCCTCAGTACCTGTCCTGATTCTCAAGGACCAAGCTTGTCTTCCAGGACCTAGAGCATGCTGGGATTGGAGGAAACAGCCACAGTACCCTCTGAGGAGCTTGGCTGTACCACTTGGGAACAGTACTTCAAGGCAAACTCCTCTTGTGCAAGGTGGCATTGGGCCACAAAGAAGCCAGCATCAGTGTAATTAAACTGTGGCTACAGCCTCTAACCTCGCCTATTCTCATTTTTAAGTCTCTTGATCTTTTCCTGTTCAGCTCTTGGTTTGAGTTCAGATGCTTGTCTGTGACTTTCCCCTTCCTCCCTATTCCAGTGGTAGGCTCTTACCTTTTCCCTTGTTCCTCGTCCAGTCTCCACTCGAACCTCTTCAGGAAAGTTTGTGCTCCGCCTTGGACCAACTCGAGCACGAGCCCGAGTTCTCCTGCAGCATCTTGCACGGTGACACAGATGCAGCCCTGAACAGCTCATGTTCGATGGAGGAGCCCCCTAACTACTGGAGATCTGTTTATTTTGCTATTAGCAAATTTACCTGTCTGTGATTTTGGCTTTGTGGTCCACAGTGAAAACTTCACCTTTTGCTGAACACTGGAGAGAGAGTGGGTTTGGCTGGTTGAAGATTGTCCCTCTTCCTCCTTCTCCTCAGCCTCTGGTCCCTTAAATAAATTTCTAGCCACATTTCTCATAGATGAGGTCCTCTTCTTGTGTCCTATTCATTCATTCAACAGACATTTATTGAGGGTCTACAGTCTCTCAGTTACAATGTAAGATACTAGGATACAAAATGAATAAGATAGAGTCCCATATAATCATAAAATAAAAAGGTAAGTGATCCAATAGAGATGTGAGATATATACCTAGGAGAAGCACCTGATGGCTTACCACCTAGTAAAAAGATGATGTGGTTTTAGATGTTATGGTAGAGGAAAACCTTGAGAAAGATAAAGGAAGCTCGTTTTAGGAGAATTGAATGTGATTTCAGCACAAGTTATCTGGCAGTATCTACTAGAAGTAGACTTAATCTAGTTCTAGTTCCATTTTGACTTGTTCCTCCAGATGTTTAGGAAAGGAGAAACCCATTTTTGTTGCAACTGTTTGTCCTCAGAGTAAAACCATTTCCTCTAGTCTTCAGACTGGAAGGCTCAGATAATATTACATTCCCATATTTATAAATGGGAATGTATAAATGATAAATTCCCGTATTTATGGTGGTATGCTATTCTAAAGGTAAGACCTTGGTTAGTTTGGGGCCATTCTGATATCTTCATAAATGGGTAGAGCAGTTTTGCCATAACCTAATGATATTTGATCCAGAGGAATCACCACTAACTTGATTTCAGAACCTAGCCTTCAAAATTACATGAATCCTCTAATTTAAGAGATTGAGTGAATAAATAAAAGCACGGACAAGTTGAAAGTAAAAGGAGGGAAAAAGGCCGGGTAAACACTAAGCATAAGACATCTAAACTCACTGATATTAACGTCAGACAGCATAGACTCCAGAACAAGGAATATGACCGGGGATGAAGAATGTTTCGTTATGATAAAGGGGTCAGTTCATCAAGAGGGTATAAATATGCATATAATCAATCAATGAGACCTTTAAAATACATGAAGCAAAAACTGACACAACTAAAAGGAAAAAATCCGCAATTTTAAAGGGAGATGTTAACACCTCTCTCTCAGTAACTGATAGAGGTATACAAAGAATCAATAAGGATCTAGAGGACTTGAACACTAACAACCAACTGGAGCTAACGGACGTTTATAGAATATTCCATTAATATCAGCACAACACGTATTCTTCTCAACTATACATTGACCATTCGTCAAGAAAGTCTGTATTGCTGGGCAATAAAACAAATTCCAACACATTTAAAAGGTCTCTGACCACAATGGAATTAAATTGGAAATCAATAATAGAGATCTGGAAAATTCTCAAATATTTGGAAATTAAACCACATATCTAAATAAGGCTTGTCAAAGAAGAAACCATAAGGGAAATTAGGAACTATTCTGAATGAAATGAAAATACAACATCTTTATATTTGCAGGATGCAGTTAAAGCAGTACTTAGGGGGAAATATATAGTTTCTAATGCTTTGATTAGAAAAGAGGAAAGGTCTAAAATCGGTGATCTTCCACTTTAAGCTACAAATTAAAACTAAAATAACTAGAAGGAGGAAATAATATAACAGAAATCAATGAAATAGAGAATAGAAAAACAGTAGAAAAACATCAATGAAACCAAGAGGTAGTTCTTTGAAAAGATCAATAGTTAGTTAGACTCTAATTAGACTGAGTGAGAAAAGGAGAAGACACAAATTACGAGTCTTAGGAATGAGCAAGGGGACGTTACCACGAAGAAAACTCCAGGCTCAGATCATTTCACTGGTGAATTCTATTAAACATTTAAGGCAGAGATAATATCAATCTTAACCACATTCTTTCAAAGAATGGAGCAGAAGGAAACTCTTCAAGTCATCATGGGAAGCTAGGATAACTCTGATAACAAACCAGAGAAAAACATTACAAGAGAAGAAAACTACTGACAAATATCTGTTATGACCCTAAACAGAAAATTCCTTGACAAAATATTAGCAAATCAAATCCAGCAATCTATAAATAGAAAAATAACTCCAATATATGTTCTCCTGGCAGTGGGTCCTTAGTATAAACATTATGTACATCATTTATCTGCAATGCTGTTGTCAAGACTTGATGGAATAGTTATTTTTTAAACAACTTTATTACTGTATAATAACATACAATACACTGCACATATTTAAAGTGTGCAATTTGATAAGTTTTGTCATGTTTTTATACTCATGAAACCATCACTACAATCAAGATGTGAAACATATATATCACTCACAGAAGTTTACTCATGCCCCTTTGTAATCTCTCCACGCTGGTTGAGACTCGCTGATCTAATCCTTTCATTTGTGTTTACTCATCTAGAAAGCAACCTCGTTTTCTTTTTTTATTTTGGTCAGGAAAATTGGCCCTGAGCTAACATCTGTTGCCAATCTTCCTCTTTTTGCTGAGGAAGACTGCCTCTGAGCTAACATCTGTGCCCACCTTATTCTATTTTTTGTATGTGGGATCCCACCACAGCGTGGCTTGATGAGTGGTGCATTGGTCCACGCCCGGGATTTGAACCTGCGAACCCCAGGCCTCCAAAGCGGAGCACGCGAACTTAACCACTATGCCACTGGGCCGATCCCCAAAAGCAACCTCTTAATTGCCCTGATTTTTGGCACCTGTCATTGTCTTTTCTTTTTTAGCCAAAATCCTGGTTCAGGCTCTTCCTGATTAGATTTTGTTGTGGTCTGTTGTGATTCACAACTGCTGTTATAAGTCTCACAACAACCTGTAAAGTAGGTGGTACTATCCCCATTCTACAGATGAAAAAACTAAGGCTCAGAGTGATGGAGTAACACAGAGCTCACAGGACTAGAAAGTAGCAGAGCCAGGATTCAAACTCACAGGTGTGTCCGTCTCCAAAACCTGAACAATTGTAATTGCTTGGTGTTACCTTCCAAAATTCTGCTTTGTTTTCATCCCAATATGAAAAAAAAAATCTGTATTGCGTTATTTTTTGCAAGGTAGCACCCCCCTCCTCCCAAATGGCCCCAAAATGGAAAGATGGAAGGAAGAGTTTAAGAAAAAAATAAAGGGAGAAGAGGAAATGAAAATATATGGGGTTTGGAAATCGATGGCAGCAAATGTCTGACCTCTAAGATCAATTTTAATATCAATTTATATTTGATCCAAGGCCAATCCAAAATGAACACTGTTGAGTGTAGCCCAGAAATCTGAACTTGAATGTGAAAAAGTCCTGACTCTCTGCTTCTTCAGGAGTTCTTATAGAGCTTCTCTGTACTCTTTTTGTGGTGTAGGGATAATTGGACATACCCCATAGGGTATGATAACCATTAAATTAAATAATGCACGTAAAAGAATAAGTACAGCACTTGGCATTAATTATAAAGGAGCATGTTAGTGATGATATAGACGTAAGAGAAATCCAATTGTGATCTCTCCGTTGAGGATAAAACGTCGTCCCCAAGATCCGAGTTCTGCGTATTCTCATTAGTATGCTGTAGACATTCTCGTCAGTATAGTGTGGCTATTTTGCAACTAGAGAATCCTGGCCTTGCTCACTCTTGGTAGCGTGTTGGGTGCTTTAAGAGGAGCACATTTTCTCTTCTAGGCTGTGGTGCTTTTGATTGCTTAGTGGATATATGTCCTGGAGAAAAATTAACCAGCTGGTTAATAGAGAATCCACACAAAACTAAGTTTATAAAATACACATTATGAAACTAGATCCAGTGGGATTGGTGCAAAAGGAGTAAATAAAAATCCCTGAAGGGGAATAAAGAATGATCTGCCTTTGTAGGCTGCCCTCCAGCCTGAAATACTCCTAGGCCTTTAGCACACATAGTATCTACCAGGACAAATTTTGTCTCCTGCCTAGACACCATTGATTTTGGTAGCACCCTTCCCGGAATTGTCCTTCTCAGGACAGAAGGAAGAGGGCTGGCTCAACAGAAATAAATTAAAACAAAAGTTCAGTGTTTGCTATATGGAAACCCTTAGTAAATGTTAATTGTTATCGTATTGTCTACATATATTTTTTTTAAAAATCATTATTTTAGCTGTAGTGTCAACTTGGACCTACTTAGCCTTCTCTTTCCAATTCCACACAATAATCTCAGAATTACTGAGATTAGTTAACCTCAATTAATTAATTTGAGATTGAGTTAAATTAACATATTTGACTCAGAAATGTGCTATCTACTCATCCTGTCCACCCAGAGCCACACCGTTAGTGTAGGTGTTACGCAGTGACATGCTCATGTGGGCTTCAAGAGAAAAAAAAGAGTAGAGAACTTGGTTAACTCACCAGCCAAGATGTGAGATATATCAGATGCTTAATAAGACTTGAGATGTATTTACTGCTGTTTATTTGTATATATTTGCACTTTTGGAACTGAACACAGAGTGTTCATAAGACACAATAAAAGAATCTAAAAATGGTTAATATTTTAGAAGATGTTTTGGGCTTGGTTTTGTAAACACATGAATTTGTATCTAACTTGGAATTCATTCCAGTCGTGAAATGATACTGGGAAGACTTCCATAGAATTTGTTGAATGTCCTTCCTGCTCAACTCCTCCCTATGTTAAAAATTGGTAGCTCTCTGGGTGATCTGTCGTCTCTGGCCAAAGTTGATATGGGTCCCTTCAAACCTCTTTGGAGCTTGCACAGTTAGGATTTGTACTTCTGCCTCACTGGGAGGATTTACAGAAAATAAATACACAAGCTGTGATCCCCCAAGGTTAGTAAACTAACTAAATACTAATGGTCTGAAATACTCATGGAAACTAATTATTAATGGTCTGTAGCGAGGGATGGCCATCCCCTTTAATTAGTCGCCAGAAATTGTTAGAAAAATGCCTGCCCCTTTCTGCCTACAAAACAGATTGAGGGCTTAGTGTCGGTGACGGAAGAGTTGAACGTGCGTTGATCATACGCGCTTGATTTTAGAAGGATCTTACTGGTAACGTTTCTGAGAATTTTCTAACTGCCACAATATTAAGAATCTTAAAATATAAGTTTTCTTTTAATTCCATTTGAGTTATACTCAGATGTCATTTTTCACTAATTAAGAATTAAGGATATGAGACTTAAATTCCTTCTAAATTAATTTGAGGCATTTCTCCTAATTAATTGAGTTATGAATTGTGAAGTTCATCTGCTTTCTCATATTATGGCAGTCTGTGCTCAAGATTGTTCCCACTGTGCCTTTAGATAATGGTTTTTCTTTTCCTGTAAAAATACAAAATAGTAAACAAAGGAGTAATTATGGTGCATCCATACAATGGAATATTATGGACCAATTAAAATGATGCTTACGAAAGATTTTCTTTTTTTTTTTTTTTTTTGAGGAGGACCAGCCCTGAACTAACATCCAATGCCAATCCTCCTCTTTTTTTGCTGAGGAAGATTGGTGCTGGGCTAACATCCATGCCCATCTTCCTCCACTTTATATGGGACGCCGCCACAGCATGGCTTAACAAGCGGTGCGTCGGTGCACACCCGGGATCCGAACCGGCGAACCCCGGGGCCGCCACAGCGGAACGTGTGCACTTAACCGCTTGCGCCACCAGGCTGGCCCCACGAAAAATTTTCTTAATGAATGTGATATTGTAAACAAAAGGCCAAGATAGAAAATCATTTGTAGGTTTCCTCGGCTTTATAAAAATAGGATGGAGAGCAAAAATGCCAAATTACTAGACTTCAGCTTTGTAGTCTTCTGCACATTTCTCTTCAGTTTTTCTATTGTTGGCACCTATTGCTTTTAGCAATACATCCCATAAGGCAGGGATTTTTGTCTGTGCAATTTCCTAGAAACAAGTGCTTGATACAGAGTAGATGCCAAATAGATCTTTTGCTGAATGAGTGAATGATTAATAGAAAATTGGTATTTATTGAATATGTGCATGTTGAGTGTTCAATACACTGTATCGTGTTTAAGATTTAGGGAGGCGGGAGAAGTGCTGTATTACGTTGAATATGACCTTAAAAAATGAAGCATTTTTTCGTGGATGTAGAAATTAATACAGTGGAATTTAAAGCAAACTGATTTTTAAAATTTGATTTTTAAAACCTTTTTCTTAAATTCCCTTACTAGATTCTTCAATTTGAAGATATCTTGGCCAATACTTTCTACCGAGAACACTTTCGAATGTACATGGAAAGGATAGACAAGAGAGCTCTGATTGGTTTTTGGGAGTCTGTGGAATATTTAAAGAATGCTAACAAGGTAGTATATATTGGCTCAAAGGTCTGTTAATCACTAGCTGATGAAAACTTGCATGTTAGGCAGTGTATCTGTGTTTCTCAATGAAGCTGTAAGATAAGTATAATTAAAAGAATATTTTAAACCAAGTATAACATTGGCATTATGTTCTAGCCCATAAGGGTAAATAAAATTAGATTTTTTTGTAAAAGATGCTTTTGAATGTATAGTCAAGGGAAAAATGATTGATAAATGTACCAAAAGATTGAATTTAGTTTCAGGTAGTTATGTTTTAATGCATTATCAAAAGGCATATACATCTCCACATTGCTATTATGATAAATTTGGTCTTGTCACCTACTCCTTAATCTCATAACCTTGTTTTTAATTCATAATGTGCATATTTTGCACTACTGTTCTCCTTTTATTTCATTAAACTTGGTTAAGGAATACAAAAAATGGCTTTGGTTACAGCCTTTTACAATGAAAAGCCCAACTAAATAAGCATTGTGTTTTA